ATGGGTCGACTGGAGTAAATCTTTATTCTGATCAAGTGACTTTAAAACCTATGTCGCAAACCCGTATTGATTTTCCAACTCCAATCGCTATTCAAGCTGGTTTCAAATATGAAATTCGATTTTATATTGAAATTGGTAGGTGGTATAGTTTGAAAACTCTTAAGCCTAAGGTACGGATGGATGAAGGCGTCGAAATTCAATTCCACACTGACACCAATTATTCTTCAAATAAAAATGCTGAATTGGTGGAAGAAATTCACTTTATGAAGCTTGATGCGTGAAACTTTTATTTACAAATATTTGCAGAGTGCAGCCATGATAATCAGAATGATAGCCATAATTATAATTCAATTTTCTATGTTGTTTGAACTGAAGAGTGCAGTGTACTGGAGACTCCAGTCTGAAGTATTTGAAAAACTGAGAATGAATCACTAATTTAAATTTGCTTATGGAAATAAGAATACATTTGACATTGTAATTTATGGAAAATTACAATAAATAGCAATCAATTTTTATTTTTCATATAAATATTCCAATTCAATAAAAAAAATTCATATTTTTCAAAGTGACAATTGTATTGATTACAATTTACTTGAGTAATTTTCTTAATCAAGTAAAAAAAATTATGGTTTTGTTCTGACTCTACTAGCTGTGTGGAAACGAATGTCGTTCTAATTTGGTCAAAATGTTTATCATGGAGCATTAGTCCTCTTTGTTTATCGAAGAAAATCAACTTAAATCAAAGGTTGACTGTCGAATTCCGTCAATTTGTTAAGCCACTTGCATGTATACTGTCGATATGGATGAAGTGTTGATATTTTCAGGTTGTTTTGACAATGGCCGTCATAAAAATAAACATAAATTAATGACTAGGGGCTAGGAACAAGTTGTGAGATTCACATAGATTCGCATATATTCATGCGTTCGTGGCTTTATTATTGTTGTTGTACACTCACTGCGCTGCGAATGTCTCGTATACACAATCACACGAATTCACAAATATTCGTACGGATTCGTCTCAAGCGCTTGTGTTCTTACCCCCTAGATTAATGATATTTAAGTAAAATGATAAAAATAGATTTTAGACAAATGAAACGTTTTTCTATTTTAGCTCAGCAATGAAATAGCTCCCTGGTCATATTTACTTCATTAATATACTCAACGTTCAAAATTGGAATGAAAATTGAAGAAACATACAATTTTGCCACCAAAAATACCATTAAATAATTGAAAAACAATGTTCAAAAGTAGGAAAATTCTTTTTAAAAAAGAAAAATTTATTCAAAAAAACAGACACTGATTCGAAAACGTAAGGTTTTATTAACAGTATTTATTTCAATTTGAAAGTGACATTTGACAGTTCGTGCAAATTGGCTGTCAAGCATATTTATTCCAAATTGGAACTTCCAATCTATTTATATCACAGAATTGAACTGCGTAGAAAACACGAAATAACAAACGGTCTGTGGTCATAACAAGTTTACTTTGGCAATTTATATTTGTTCACTTATATTCAAAGTCATATTGAACAAATGTGAATTCGTATTTGTTTTTATTTTCTCACCAAACTTCAAATCGAAAATAAAATAATTGGTTTGAATTTCGAGATTCATCATTGTGAAATTACACTCAATTTGAATAGAACGTAAATAAGAGGTGCTTTTGTGTGGCACATTCATACGATTTTTTTTTCTCTGAAATTTCTTTTGATAATGTTATCTCCGACTTAATTTTTGCTCTTTTTCTACCATCCGTTTAGTTCATCACAATAATTCAACAACGTGAACCGTGAACAAAAATCCATTAACCAATCTGTCATCAACAACATTTCCACTTCAAATCAAATTCTGCAATGGCACAAGAGCCTGCTCCGATTATTTACAGCAATGTGTTGCCGTGGCGTGGCTGCGAGAAACTGTATTTGGACACCCGAACAGCTGATGTATTCTTTGTCTTTGGTAAAGATGGTAACGTGAAAATTCCGGCACACAAAAACATTTTGTCGGCCAATAGCAAGTTATTCGATGTGATGTTTTATGGTCCACGCAAACAAGAAGGTGACATCCCAATCGACAAGTCAACTCCTGAGGCTTTTAAGGAATTTTTGCAATTCTTTTACCTTGGAACGGTGAAATTGACCAACGTAAATGCAGTCCATGTCATGAATCTCGGCAAACAATATTTGGTCGACGAGTGCTGCAAGGCCAGTTCCAACTTCACTGAGCAAACTCTGACATTGGACAACATGTGCTTTGGCTATGAGGTGGCGATCTTCTTCGAACAAACTCATTTAATGAAGTTTTGTGAACAGAAAATTGGCGAAAACCCAAAGGAAATCTTCCAGTCCAAAAGTTTTCTGTCTTGTAGATCGAATTTATTGGCAAGAATCTTGCAGCTGGACACATTCAACTGTGACGAATCAGTGGTGTTTGACGGTTGTATGGCATGGGCAAAAGCCGCCTGCATTAAGAAAGGACTGGATGGAACAAACATGCAGAATATTCGCAATCAGTTGGGCGACCTATTCTACGAGATTCGGTTTGGTGATATGACAGCTGAAAGTTTTTATCCTCGGTATCGTTCTTACGGAGGTCTATTTTCGATTGAAGAATTCACAGACATTATCGGTATGATTTCATCTAAGGAATATCGACCACCGAAATTCAATCGTAATGAACGAAAAACGAGCCAAATTTACAAAAATAACACCAATGACCTGATTTGTGATCGGACTGATCCAACTGGTTTGAACCACCAACGGTACGATCTGGGATCGGGTACCACAATCCAAAATACCACGTCATTCACATCCAATTGTGAGTTAGTCCTAAAGACAATTCACTGCAATGAATTATTTCCAGTTCATGTTGAAAAGAATATACCATTCATACCAGCTATAATGAATGTGATTGATGGATCGACTGGTAAAAATCTTTATTCCGATCAAGTGATTTTTCTACCTCTGAGCGAAACCAATGTCCATCTTCCAACGCCAATTATCATTCGACCAGGCGTCAAATATCAAATTTGCTTTAATCTTCAAATTGACAAATGTTACACTTTGATGACCCTTAAGACCAAGGTGCAAATGGATCAAGGCATCGAAATTGATTTCGGTTATGATTACGGGGATTATTCTTCAAATAAAAATCCTGGACTGGTGAAGAAAATTATCTTCATGAAACCTAAAGAATAACACTTTTATAGTGAACGTATATATGTGTATGCTGCAAGGTAATCATAATTCAGCATTTAATGTGAACTTACCAGCTACTATGCAGAATAATATTGATAATATTAATCACCATTTAATCTCTCACTGAAAACGTCCGCTGGATGTGTGCGTCCAGTGTTTAGTCTTACAAATAAGAATACATTTGGCATTGTGATTCAAACAAAATCCAATTAACATCATAAGCAAAATCCATTTTATATTTTCTATAAATATATTTCAATTCAATAAAAAAAAAATCATATTTTTCAAAGTGACAATTGTATTGATTACAATTAATTTGAGTAACTTTCTTAATCAAGTAAAAAAAAAATGGTTTTGTTCTGACTCTAGCTGTGTGGAAACGAATGTCGTTCTATTTCGGTCAAAATGTTTATCACGGAGCATTAGTTCACTTTATTCATCGAAAAAAAAATCGTCCTCAATCAAAGGTTGACACTCGAATTTGACCAATTAGTTAAACGACTTGCATGGATGATGTCGATGCGGATGAGGCGTTGGTATTTTCTGGTTGTTTTTGCAATGGTCGTCGAAACAAAAGAACATGTGGCTCTGGAGCGTGAAGCATGTAGTGAACCCAGCCGGGACTTTGTTGAACACCCAAATTTCGCCATTCGGTCTCGGTCATCAAATGCGATTTCGGCACCTGACGCGCTAAATCATTCGGAAGGATCACATGCCTGAAACAAAAATAAAGAAAAAAATTATTCGTCATTAGAAACACTTTTAATTCATTGGAAATAGTACACCAAAAACACGATTTCCATTCGAAAATTGCACAAAGTGTGAAAAACAAATCAATTTGGTTATCACTTCCATGTCGTTGTGGCATTATGACAACATACCTGTACTCGTACTGATTGTCGTAGTACTTTTCCGAGTATTGAATTTGATCGGCCGACATTTTTTTTCACAGTAATTAACCAAAAATGGCACAATTTTTTCAATCAATCAGGAAAAAATCGTCGATTTATTTGTTTTATCCACGGAATTTTTGTCAAAGAAAACTTTTGCCGCTCGCAAACAAGTGATAACATCTAATGTATTTCCAATATAAACACTGGATTTGTTTGAGAGAACACACCACAGCAGCTGTCAGTGCGGCTCGTGCGATGAATAGCCCAAATGTCAAAATAAACTTTTTAGTACGCGATTGAAAGACGACGGTTTGAATGAATGAAACGTTCGATTTGTAATGTTCTTTTTTCTTGGATTTTGTTTAATTTTTCAGATTTTGATAGTTGAAATTTGTGATTTTAATGGAATTTTCATCTTTTTTGTCAAAAATGGACCAAAATTGTTTTTCCTTAGTTTTCTGAACGAAAATCAACGGCAATTCTCTTTAGAACCTCCCAACCGAGCTGCGTACTAAATATAGCCGCACGAATGAACCGCACACAGGACTCAATGAACTGAATTCACTTTCCAATGGTAACTATGAATGTGTGAGTATGTGTTAGTGTGTTTGATATCCATAAACAAATCATCTAAAAATAGACTGAATGGACGACCGCGTATTCACGTCAATGTGAATGAAGCAGAAAAAAAAACTAGCGTGTATGTGAAAAGTGTTTTTTTTTTCACAAACATCACAACACATCTTTTTTTTCTCATCGTTTAGCTTCTGTCAGTGTCGTGTTCCAATTGACCAATGTTGTGAAAATTTTCACATTTTTCGTGTGAAAATCTCGAGAATCCATCGAAAACTTAAGAAAACAATTGAGAATTGGATAAAAATCGATTTTTATAGGCCGAATCGTTGGCAGAGAGGTTAATTTTTTTGTCTGTTTGTTCAACAGGCCCAAGTGAAAATGTGTCAAAAGTTGTTACGGATCTAGTGCGGTGGGTTTGATAGTGTGAAGAAAAAAAAAACATTTTCAAAGTGGATCGCATTTAGTTCAATATCTGGGAAAAATGGTTGATGCCAGTTTAGCATACGAGATTTTAATGTATCTCAACTCATTTTACTTTGGTAAATAATATGGGAGAATGTAGTTACGATTTTGGTGCATGTCATTAATGCCTGTCATTCAATGCTATTTTAGGGTTATTGGCCTTTGTTGAACTGGGAGTTTTCATTTACAAATTGGGTAAGTTCAAGCTAATTACAGACTAAATTACATTGAATCCAGGCTTTGAATCGTGATTAATGGTGCAATTTGGTTCAAACAGTGAAATTGGGCAAACGCTACTCACTGATACCGACAACACTGATATGGGGTAAGTTAAAGCAACGGTCATGTTGCTAATCAATTGAATTTTTTTTATCAAATTCAAAAATAGAATTCGTTTTTTGCTCTTTCAGACGTTGGATATCTATTTGGAACGACGTTGCTGGAGACAATACGAATATATTTGGGGAGGAAAAGTAAGTTTCTATTTGGTTTGTGGATTTTAGCTAAAGAGATGGACTTGCTCCGAGTACGGAGACTGCAATCCCTGTAATGGGTCACTTTGAGTAAAGAGACTGATCCGTTTTTGAAGAAATTGATTCGTTTCTGATTTAAGTAAGAAGATTCTTCCTAGGCACACTGATTGAATACCTTTGAATAAGAAGATAGACTCAATGCAGCGTCCATCTCCATTGGCTCTGATTTCAGCTCGATTACTTACTCTCATGGTGACACAGAGAGTCTCAAACACATTCAATCGCACTATAAACCTCCAAACCCACTCAAAAATGCTCATATTTTTCTTTTCTCTCTCTCTCTCTCCGTAGGCTCACTCAGTAAACATGGTTGGCAAGTGATAGTGTCGGTAATACTGACATTCCCGTGCATGGCTGGCATTTGGTATCTCATTTATTTCCAAGAAGTTTCAATCCAATTGGAGATAATTCTATGTGCCTTGGAACTAATGCTACAGTTCACTGAAATTGTCTACGCAACAATATTTACAATAACTGCATGCCGTCCACGGACCTACACCTAACGTTTGGCTACCGGCGACGACACCAAATTTCAAACATTGGTTACCATGCGAACGCCGACCAAACAAAAACACATTTAAACAGCACAACACTCTCAGCTCACAGCCAAATGTCAACCAATGCGACGAAATAAAGGGATGTGGTGGAGACGGCCAAAAACCCATACACATAGTCGATTCTCAATATATATATATACTCGAAACAATTTGCTTTAATTGAAGTTTGACACATTTTCAAATCTAGTCGAATTCATTCTAGTCGATAAGCCTATTTTATTCAACAAAAACTATTTCACCGTTTCATAACGCTGCACACAATTTTCTCTCTTTCCGTTCTAGTCATTATGTTGGTCAGTTAATTGTTCAGCGTACATAGTTTTTATAACATTTGATACTTAAACACAAATTACGGCGGCTTTAATATTCATACATCATTTACATCAACAGATAGGTGAAGTGTAATACACAGATGAAGTGCAAATGGGACAGCTTAGAGGGAACACATTTCGAACGGAGATGAGGGCAACGTTTCATATTCAAAGTGCACAAAAGCCAAGTGTTGGACTTTTTAAAAAAATTGTCGGTGAAAATGATTGAATGTGAAGAATTGTAAAATTGGAAACAAATGTGAACTTCGATATGTGAAACTTGCGAAAATTGTGAAATTTCAGAGGAAAACAAAAATCTTAACCCATAAGGAAATCTACACTAAAAAGGGCAGTAAGACAAGCTTTGTTGGAAACTCCAATTTGGATTAGTTCGATTGAATATTTTCCAACAAAAAGGAGTAAACTGTCCGTAATATTGCTCAAAACACATCCCAAACTACCCAAAAATCTGAATGGTCTGAGATTCAATCAATTTCCTACAGAAATGTGCTCTTTATCAGTTTCCCGCCGAAATGTGCTCTTTATAATCTGTCGCCATTACCCAGTTTATATCAGATTTGAAAAAAAGAACAATCATTTCCGTTTTTGATGTTATTCTGAATCAATAGTTTTGTTTAGTATCAGAAAAAATTTGTTTACACATTCATTTTCTGAACACCGAAAAAAAACGGAACCGATATCAATCAAGTGGCATTTATTTGCTACTAACATCTACTCTCATCCGACCACATTCAACTACTTAAAACATATGATAATACTGATATACAGTATAAACTGTAAAATTAACCCATACTGTATGAATTCAACCGATGATGACGGTTGAATGTAAAATTTTAATATTTCAGTAAATTGTAACACCTCTATCAAACTCAAGGAACAATTTGGTCCAAAACTAGTCGAAAACGTACAGAGCTTCAAGTTCATTCTTATCACACACACACACACATCTGACAAATGAGGCAAATACACACTATATTACTAGTTGAATTGTATAGTTGATAAATCCCTTTTGCAACGAATCACACAGAACGAGACGATTTGGGTTTTTTTTCTTCTGACAAGCTTGACGTTTGTATTCGATGAATGCCATGGCAGAGAGATTGAATGGATTTTTTTTCTTTTTTTGTAGATGATAATTAAGAAAATTGAAAATTTGCCTTGAGTTTTTTTTATTTTCGAAGATTTTGTTGTTAAAGTTTTGAACAAAATTGATTTTTTTAAAAATTAATTTCCAAATTTTAATTTAAAAATAACTAAATTGATTATATATCCAGAATTTTCGTTTCCAAACTAATTCGTCAACAAAAAAAATTCATTTATTAATTGGACATTTTGAATGGATTTCAAAAATGCTCCCATCTGAAAGTGTATTTTTTTAATTGAGAACAATTAATCCTAGTATAATTATACAATGAATTTGAATTATCTTCTGTTTAATTCTACGAAAAAAAAGTTGAAGGAAAAAATTCCGTCAGAAATTTAAAAAAAACCTAATGTTTTCAACTATGTTTAACAAAAAGGAATAATTCAATTTCAGGGAAATTGGGTATTTTTCAAAAATCGTCCAATTAAAGTGAATATTTAAAAGCCATTCATGTGAGAAACACTTCAACGAACCTTTTTTCATTGAATAGAATCTTATTCGATGGAATAAAAATGATGAAAAATTCACTACCTACAAAATGTCAAGCACTCATTAAAAAAAACATTGTCTCGTTCTGTTCAACCAGAAAATAATCTCTAAGATTTAGATCTAAAAACAAACCTGGTTTCTTTTTCTGCCGATCGATAAAAATTAGCCCGAAATGCCTTGTAGTGCCATTAGGAAACCTCCTAGAACCACGATGGATAAATAAAAAAAAAGTGAAAAAAATGGTAATCAATTTGAACCGTGTCTTTAAATTAGTCTGTAGTTGATCCGATTGTATTTTTTCATGGTTCAATTGCGATCCATATAAATTAAACCAAAAAAAAACCTTGTCGTAGAAAATATAAATAATCATGTGGTTTCCTCGTAGAATATTTATTACCCCGAAGTCGATTTTGATTATAGAAAAAAGAAAAAGAAGGCGAAATGTATCGATTTTTTAAAAATTTCATTATTTTCGATGTTGTCTCTCGATGTGGTTTCATTCTTTAGTTCCATATTATTACACAGCAATCGCTGTTCCCCCATTCTAAATCGATTTGGTTTTTTTTGTATTTATGTAACCAAATATAAAGAAAAAAATTATTTAAATATATTTCTTTGATTTTGCAAGTAAAGCAAAAGGTTTGGATGTTTTTTGAACAATTTTTTTGAGTAAACTGCAGTAGACGGTGCTGTACACTGCACTGCAAAATGAAAATTCATTGGAATTTAGTCACCAAAAATATTTTAAGCAAATTATCTCGATTGGTTCATCTATGATGAAAAGACTAAAGTGGTAAGTAATCAAAATCTTTAGTATTCTTATAAGGTACGCTTTGCAAGGTGAAAATATTTTGACATCATCTGAAAAAAAACTATGATTCGACTTGCCGCAAAATTGCGATTTTCTCTCCAATTATTGAATCAAAATGCCTTTTGACGTGATCAAAAATGCAGCAACGTTTAACAAATCTGGTTGATAAAAATTATCCCATAAACCTGGATTGATTCAATTGTGAATTTCAATTTGTCACATTTAATCTAATTAGAAAAATTGTGAATATTTTTAAACAAATTTCTTTCAAAACCATTTATAATAATTGATGATCCCTTATCCATATGTGATTAGCTAAAATTGTGTTATTTTTTTATTTCATTTTCTATTGAATGCTCACATTAATTTCCCTTTTCCATATAACATTTAATACAAATTGTCCAACGGTGGCTTTTTTCTTATTATTCTAAAGAAAACGGTTTATAACCTTGATTTCAGATTGGTTGGGATGTCCAAAAAAAAGTCGGGCGCTAAATTGTCGGCATTTTCTGGATAACAAGCGTACTGTTTGAGGTCATTGACACCAGCGTCTTTAAGCACCTCTTCATCGATGTAGAAGTTACCGGTTGTGGTTTTTGGATCGCGAGTTAGAATGGCATAGGCAGCATCGGCACAGATTTCTGGCTTGCGTGAATATTTACTGCTATCTTCACCCAGCAACATCTCAACGGCGGCAGTAGCAATGGCCGTTTTGGGCCATAGTGCATTCACACCGATTTCACCTTTGTACTCGTGAGACATTCCTAGCACACACATCGACATTCCGTACTTGGCTATGGTGTAAGCGGCGTGATTACCGAACCAAACCGGGTTCAAGTTGAGTGGTGGTGACAAGTTTAGAATGTGAGCATGGTCACTTTTCAGCAAATGTGGTATGCATTCTTTTGATCTGGAAAAGATAAAGTTGATTCATCGATTGATGGAGACATTTGGTTTAAGATAAAGTCGATGATGTCAATTGGTTTGAACCAACACAGAAAATGTTTGTTTTTGATATGAACACCGGTCATTCGGTCATAAACCAATTGTTTCTTAATCAAAACATTGACATAATCCGTTCAAATATTCCCATTGATCTCTTTACTCACACAAGAAAAGTGCCGCGAGTGTTGATGTTGTTCATCAGGTCATATCGTTTCATCTCCGTCTGAAGTGTTGGTGTCAATGAAATTGCACTGGCATTGTTCACTAGAATATCGATGCCACCAAACTGTTCAAAGAAAACACACAAAATTGTGGAATCAATCAAAAAGTTTGGTTATTGTGTCATTTTCATTGGTATCAGACGTCTAATCGTCACTTAAGTCTCAAATATCCAAATGAATACCTTCTCAACAGCTGTTTTCACCACTGATTTGACTTGTTGTTCATCTCGCACGTCCAAAATGAGTGGCAATGCCTTTCCGCCGGCTTCTTCGACTATAAAAAAACCAAGACAAACATTAATATCAAGCGCAACTTTCACTTGGTCTATATCTTTCAAGTGGAATGACTTACTCTCTTGAGCAGCTGTGTAAATAGTTCCAGGTAATTTTGGATGTGGCTCTGCCGTTTTGGCAGCGATTATAATATTTGCACCATCACGAGCTGCCTTCAAAGCGATCGCTTTGCCAATTCCCCGTGATGCTCCAGTTATCAATAGCGTTCGGCCAGCTAATTTTCTGTTGGCAAATGGTTTTAATGACAGTCAAACAAAACATCGGATAAAATCAACATCAACACAAACCCAGTATTTTTCATTGTCAGCTGTGTAGTAATGCGCTAATTCACCATCCCTTCAAAATAAACCAAATCAATTGAAAATATGAAATCTTGCATGACACTAAAGTTTATTCGCTTACTACTTTACCAAAGTTAAAAACTAGCAAATTTTACCTAATAAAAATAAAAATACGTAAGCACACATATATGCGGTGCAAACACACTAATCCAAATACACCGACTTTATTGTTGATCGTTCTTGTTTAGTTGACAGCCAAAGAGAAGAGTGAAAACAGAAATAACTCACACTGTAGCAATGACTTTTGACAGCTCCCGTCTATTGAATGAATGAACAGAGCTATCTGTGCGTGGAACATGGGAATTTAGTTCAATTTTTAATATTTTGAATTGGTAAACAAGTTAATTTTGTTGACTCTTTGAATAAACTTTCAATTATTTGTGAAATTTTTTTCAGACCAATGAGAGATAGCAAGCGTACTGATAACAAGAAAACTTCAAATAGTTTACATGTTAACATTTAGACTTAATTCTTCATACGGAGGATGAACATTCTGGTAGACCCGTTTGGCGCTACCAGAACATAGTTACGATGAAAATTAGCCCAATGAACAAAAGACACGCGAACAAAGAAACACCACCCTTCAAAAATTGTTGATAAAAATTTGCCCATTAAACTGGATCACTTCAAGTCATTTGTGAATCACAATTTGTAATATTTAAACCAAATTGTGTATATTTTCGAAGAAATTTATTCAAAACCATTCAATAACAATTAATGAGCCCTTATTCATATGTGATTAGCTAAATTTGTGTTTTTTATTCCAAATTTTCAATCATTTTCTATCAAATGTTCACATTTATTTTCCTCTTCCAAATAATTTGTTGTTCCTCTAATCATTTGCACTTCATTATCGTGATGGAAATAGTGAATGATGCAATATTCAGTGAAGCTTCAATATTTCTTCGTGTTATAAAAATACAAATTGTTCATTAAACAATGTTCAATAGAATTGATTGAGCCAGGCAGTAGTTGCATTTTTTCATATTTTCTCCCATCCTCACTCTTGGTATGATCGAATGTGACGGTTTTCATTGAACACTATTAAAAATGTTGATAAAAATGATTAAAAAAATCTATGAAAAAAAATTACAAAACCAAAATTCTCCACTTTTCTAAAGAAATCAATTTATAATTTTGATTTTAGGCTGCCCATGAGTTTCTCGAGTTTCATTGCCTTTTGCAAATCGCCGGCAATTTTTAGTTTACCGGACATGAATGCTGATGTAGCTTTGAGTTTGCCGGAGAACATGTCAAAGAAATCGTTGGATTTCATGGTTAATGTCGCTTCTGGTGTGACACCGCCATCGCCTTTTCCACAGCTGCCACTGCCATCCTTCAAGTTGAGAAACCATATGCCGGCCTCATCACCTTTTACATTAAAGTGATATGTGGCGTTGACTTTTTGTACTAATTCCTCGTTCAAATTGGCTTCAATTTTCTTGAACAATCCCTCAATTTGACCAGAGGGAACGGTGGCACCTTCGGCTTTTTGGCTTGATTTGCTGAAGACGTTGTTAATGCTAGTTGGGATGTCCAAAAATGCATCGGGCACTAAATTGTCGGCATTTTCTGGATAACAAGCGTACTGTTTGAGGTCATTGACACCGGCCTCTTTAAGCACCTCTTCATCAATATAGAAGTTACCGGTTGTTGTTACTGGATCGCGGCTCAGAATAGCATAGGCAGCATCGGCACAGATTTCTGGCTTGCGTGAATATTTACTGCTATCTTCACCCAGCAACATCTCAACGGCAGCAGTAGCAATGGCCGTTTTGGGCCACAGTGCATTCACTCCGATCTCACCTTTGTACTCGTGAGACATTCCTAGCACACACATCGACATTCCGTACTTGGCTATGGTGTAAGCAACGTGATTGCCGAACCAAACTGGGTTCAAGTTGAGTGGCGGTGACAAGTTTAAAATGTGAGCATGGTCACTCTTCAGCAAGTAGGGAATGCACTCTTTGGATCTGGAATGGATAAAGTTGATTTATTGATCGATGGAGACATTTGGCTTAAGATAAAGTCGATGAAGTCAATAAGTTTGAACCAACACAGAAAATGTTTGTTTTTGATATGACCACTGGTCATTTACTAGTTGTTTCTTGATCAACACATTGACATTATCCGTTCAAATATTCCCATTGATCTCTTTACTCACACAAGAAAAGTGCCGCGAGTGTTGATGTTGTTCATCAGGTCATATCGTTTCATTTCCGTCTGAAGTGTTGGTGTCAATGAAATTGCACTGGCATTGTTTACTAGAATATCGATGCCACCAAACTGTTCAAAGAAAACACACAAAATTGTTGGTCCATTCAAAAAGTTAGGTTAATGTGTCACTTTCAGACGTCTGATTGTCACCAAATTCTCAAATATCCAAATAAATACCTTTTCAACAGCAGTTTTCACCACTGATTTGACTTGCTGTTCATCTCTCACGTCCAAAATGAGTGGCAATGCCTTTCCGCCGGCTTCTTCGACTATAAAAACCAAAGCAAACATTAATATCAAGCACAACTTTCACTTGGCCTATTTAATTCAATTCAAATGACTTACTCTCTTGAGCTGCTGTGTAAATGGTTCCAGGTAATTTTGGATGTGGCTCTGCCGTTTTGGCTGCAACTACGATATTTGCACCATCACGAGCTGCCTTCAAAGCGATCGCTTTACCAATTCCCCGTGATGCTCCAGTTATCAATAGCGTTCGGCCAGCTAATTTTCTGTTGGCAAATGGTTTCAATGACAGTCAAACAAAACATCGAATAAAATTGAGATCAAAACAAACCCAGTATTTATCATTTTCAGCTGTGTAGCAATGCACCGTCTCTTCAAAACGAACCAAGTTAATTGAAAATATGAAATATAGCGTGACACTGAAATTTATTTATTTTGCAACAATTTGCTCACTCCTTGACCAAAGTTCAAAACACCAAGCAAATTTCACCTGATAAACATAGAAATACGTAAGCACACATATATGCGGTCCGACACACTAATGTAATGTACAGACTTTATTGTTGATCGTTTATTTGACAGCCAAAGAGAAGAGTGAAAACAGAAATAACTCACACTGTAGCACTGACTTTTGACAGCTCCCGTCTGTCATTGAATGAACAGAGCCATCTGTGCGTGCAATATAGGGTTTTGGTTTAATTTTTAGTACTTCGAATTGATCAACACCATTGGAATGATAGAATTTATGGAATTTTATTATAATTTTATTTAAAAAATAGTAAAAATGCATAAACTAATAATTGCGAGAAAAAATCCAATTAATGCGAGACTTTAGACAAGAAAACTTCAAATTATAGTTTACAAACTAACATTTAGACTTAATATTGCAAATAAATGTTGAGAAAAAAATATTTTGTGCTCTGTGATGTTGGAAATTCATTTGCAAAGGCAATTTCAATACTTATTTCGCGGTTGATTTCATTTTTTTATTTTATTTATTTATTTAAATTACTTTTGATTCATAGAGGACGATTATGGTGGGCAAACCCCTATTGAAACCCCATAAAACGTTGTAAAGCATGAAAACTTAAACCTAAGTCATACTGCTGGTTTTTACATTTGTGTCTAATTGTCCCTATTTCATATGTTCATTATATAGCAAAGCACATAGTTGAATTCACAATAGAATTCATTTTCGATCTAAAATTTATTCTTTTTAACTTAACCAAATGTCCTAATAAGCCATGGCTCGTATGGCCACTAGTAATGCAATGAATTACAACCTCTTGTTGAAGCTACGCATGAATTTCTCCAAATCAATGGCCTTCTGCAAATCGCCGTTGATCTTCAATTTACCAGACATGTACGCTGAGGTTGCCTTGAGTTGTCCAGCAAAAAGATCGAGCACATCTTTTGAGTCCATAATCAGTGTGGCTTCTGGTCTGATGCCTCCATCACCTCTGCCGCAGCTCCCTTTTCCGTATTTCAAATTGAGAAACCAAGTGCCGGGCTCATCACCTTCTACATTAAACTGATAAATGGCGTTTACTCTTTGAACTATTCCCTCGTTCAAGTGGCTTTCGATTTCTCTAAACAGTCTCGCTATCTCTCCGGATCTACAGCTAGTGGTTTGAAACTTTGGTTTCTCATGTTCGCTCCAAACAATAGTCTTATCGAATGGAATATCCAAAAATCCATCGGGTATTAAATGATCGGCGTTTTCTGGATGACAAGCATATTGCGTCAAGTCTGGAACGCCTGCCTGTTTAACGACGTCTTCATCGATGTAGAAGTTACCGGTTGTGGTTTTTGGATCGCGGCTCAGAATAGCATAGGCAGCATCGGCACAGATTTCTGGCTTGCGAGAGTATAAACTACTGTTTTCACCCAGCAACATCTCAACGGCGGCAGTTGCAATGGCCGTTTTGGGCCACAATGCATTCACTCCGATTCGACCCTTGTACTCTTGAGATATTCCAAGCACACACATCGACATTCCATATTTGGCTATGGTGTATGCCAGTGATTTGCTGAACCACATCGGATTGAGGTTTAACGGAGGTGATAAATTCAGAATGTGAGCATGGTCACTCTTCAGCAAATGGGGAATGCACTCTTTGGATCTGGAATGGATAAAGTTGATTAATGAAGACATTTGGTTTAAGTTAAATTCGATGAAGTCAATTGGTTTGAACGAACATAGAAAATGTTTGATTTTGATATGAACACCGGTCATTGACCAGTTGTTTCTTAATCAAAACATTAACATTATCCGTTCAAATATTCACATTGAACTCTTTACTCACACAAGAAAAGTGCCGCGAGTGTTGATGTTGTTCATCAGGTCATATCGTTTCATCTCCGTCTGGAGTGTTGGTGTCAATGAAATTGCACTGGCATTGTTCACTAGAATATCGATGCCACCGAACTAATCAAAGAAAACACACAAAATTGTTGTTTATTCAAAAGTTAAGTTAATGTGTCACTTTCAGACGTCTGATCGTCACAAAAGTCTCAAATATCTAAATAAATACCTTTTCAACAGCTGTTTTCACCACTGATTTAACTTGTTGTTCATTTCGCACGTCCAAAATGAGTGGCAATGCCTTTCCGCCGGCTTCTTCGACTATAAAAACCAAAGCAAACATTAATATCAAGACCAACTTTCACTTGACCTATTTCATTCCTGTCGAATGACTTACTCTCTTGAGCTGCTGTGTAAATGGTTCCAGGTAATTTTGGATGTGGCTCTGCCGTTTTGGCAGCGATTATAATATTTGCACCATCACGAGCTGCTTTCAAAGCGATGGCTTTCCCAATTCCCCGTGATGCACCAGTTACGAAAAGTGTGCGACCACCCAATTTTCTGTTGATTACAGGAAAAATATCACTCTTTGGTTAGCTCAATTTTTTATTAGAATCAATTCTTAAAATATTTCGATCTTTGCTTAGTTATTCACTGTTTCATTCAAAAAATAATTAATTCAATATAAGTTTCAACTTGACACAGACCCAGTATTGATCATTTTTAACCTTATTGCTTCAAAAATGTGAAATTCAGTGCTAAGAGAAAATAAATTTTGTTTGGTCTTTTTAATACTCAATGTGTCTTTTAGACACCGCACGAAGAGCGCACCAAAAGAAGAATGAGAGAAGCCAAGACGGTGAAAGAAAGTAACACACTGAAACAGCTTTATTTATGTTTTGCTTTTAAACTTGTTTTCTGATTTGACAAGTGAATGTTCGCATACATGCTTAATGATCACTTACCAACGGTAAGCTACACAGAGACAGCAAGCAATCTTCTATGTTTGTCTGTTGATGTTTGCGCTCTGGTTGTCATACAACACATTACCATACTTTGGTAACTTTTTTGGAAAACGGCGCCAAGTTTAAATTATTCTTCATTCGTGTTAAAGCTTTGAAACCAAACTAGAAATGAAATAGAATTCGATTGTTCTAAATGAACCTTGCTTCAACACCTTTAATACTGGACTTCAAATAAATTATTATGAAAATTAAAACTTAGAAGAAAATTAAAATATTTTGAGGAACAAAAGAACTTACTTGTTATGTGACCTCTGTGCAGCAATTTCTCGCCGGTTGTTCCAAATCTTGTAATTTTCATTGAACTTTTCGATTATAAGTAACAATTCTTCATAAATGACTACATCTTTATTTATCAACTAGCTCATTCGATTCAGTTGGAATTTATACAAATCATTTTTACCATTTTACACCCGTAAAACTCGTTTGTACTTAACAGTATTTAATAATCTAATTAAACAACTAAGTAAATGTTTCTTGGCTTAACAAAACTTTCATTTTTATCGAAATAAAATATTTATGTATTTTGAAAATGAACAGAATTATGTAAATAATAATTGCTTAGTTTTGGCTTGAAGTTCAACAGTTTGAATAAATATTTTAAAGATGATTCATTTTTAATCATTAACCACAATCATTCAATTACGGCATTTCTGATTAGAAGCTTGTCAGGTTCATTGATTCTCCGACATTTAGATATTTTTAACATGGAAATGAAGCTAAAGCGATTATAAAATATAATATAACAAACAGAGAGTCAATTAAATACATTCGATGATGATTCATCGCTGGTAAACTATCACATTGTGTATATTGCCTTAATTGAAAATACCGAAAGAAATAGTGGTCAACGGATATTGTGGCAGTCCATTGATCTCAGTTTTTATTCAGTCATCAAATTTATTATAGATTCAGCAGTAATTTGAGTTGAATCATCTTGATTTCTCAATTTATCGAGTATGGATTTAACATTTTCTGGGCTACGCAAAAAATTGTTCAATCTTGACTCCGTTGGCCCGTCAACACTTGAGTGTTCTATTACCCAATTCAAAAAATACAATACGCCTTCATCATTTTCAGGCTCTGTTGAGTAGTAAAAGACACCTTCGTCAGGATCAATGTGCTTTGAGAGTATGAAATCTTTCAAAAACTTATCGTCTTTTACATTGTCTTTTACGAAGTCTAATATCAACTCAATCTTTTCTTTTCTTAGGCGCAGGTAAGATCGACTTGCTCCGTGTAACGCTGTGTTGATTTTACCATTTCTAACTTTTCCTTTAAGTAACAATTTTTTGAGCACATCAACCCCAAATTGATTGTTTACCCAGTACAACAAAGACTGTGCTGTTTGTGGATCATGCCAATATTGCAATGAACGGTACAAAATGTTTCTACCCTCGCCCTTTTCATTTGCCAATACCAATTCTTTTAATTCGTTACTTTCAACGTGCCTCGCCATGAA